ATATAATATACTATAATAACGACAACTTATATCACTATATGATATGATATATTACTTACTAATATTCACCTATAAGTAATATACATAATATACTAAATTAAAATATCAGTAGACTTCAATATATATAATCGAAATGTCAATACCCCGTGAAACAACACACACATCACACACAGCACTGCCACATAAATACACATAACATTACTCATACTCGTATTCATACGCTATCTGACTCATGACTCTACTGGATACCATACACATACACATACACCATCCCACATACCCATACAATACACTACACACTACACTCATTCAACATACTACATCACACAATACACACAACATCTACATCACACACAAAATAATTATATAACTATACATATGTACGCATATGTATGAGCATAAGCATATGCGCACACCCACACCCACACACACACCCAACACACACCCACACACACACACCCACACACACACAACACACCCACACACCACCCACACACACACACACACACACACACACACACACACAACACACACACACCCACACACACACACACCACACACCCACACCCACACACACCCACACACCACAGTCACACCACAGTCACCACACCCACACCACACCACACACCCCACACCCACACACACACCCACACACACACACACCCACACACACACCCACACCCACACACACACACACACCACACCCACACCCACAACACCCACACCCACACCACACACCCACACAAACACCCACACACACACACACACACACACACACACACACACACACACACACACACCACACACACACACACACACACACACACACACACACACACACACACACACACACACACACACACACACACACACACACACACACACACACACACACACACACACACACACACACACATCTATGCACATACACATCTATGCACATACATGTATTTATGTATTTTCTCATGCCTTTATTTATGATAAAAGCATATAAATTTGCATGCTTGGTCTGACAGTGGCAAAAGTTGCATGTTGATATAGCAAGTAGTAGTTGTGCAGTCAAGTGTGCTTTTATTTTTTTTTTTTTTTTATCCATATTAATAAATGAAGCTAGGTTTGTAGAAAAGGTATGAATGAGAATGGGTATCTTCACAATGGAAGAGACGTATTTGACCAGTTTTGATTATATCTTCGTCAGAAATACATGTATATATATATTATATATATCATGTTTTTCTGACAAAAATATAATCAAAACCGGTCAAATACATCTCTTGTAAGTAAGTAATAATGACAAGAAAATAAATGTCCTAGACATCAAAGGTCATATAGCACTATGGTATTGTATTGTGTTGGGAGGGTTTTTAAAATTCTTTGTTACAATTAAAATGTTGTTTCGACGGTCATTTATTGTATGATAGTATAGTATTTAAAGGAGTAGGAAGAGATGATAGATGGGAGTAGGATAGTTATTGATGAGAAGAGGAAGGTTTAAGGACGATGGATGATTAGATCAAATGAAGGATATTTATGCGTCTGAGGAAAGGAGAATAAATTATCATTAAAAAAGGTGGGGGATTCTGTAAGGATGTCTGACAGGTTGGGGGGTTGGGGAAAATTGGATATGTAAGGAAAAGTAAGGATACAGGCTTCGGTAAAGCGAGGACAGGATATTAGGATATGTGGGACAGAGAGGACATTGCATGTAGGGCATAGAGGTAGGTTAGAGGGATGTGACATGAGGTATGAGTGAGTGATACTGGTGTGGCCATACATCTCTTGTATTATGAAGATATCCATTCTCATTCATATCTTTTCTACATCTGTCAACATGAATACAGTTGATGCTAGGTTTCATGTTGGAAAGAATTTACTTGGCAGTTTCTCCAAATATAAGAGAAGGTTGGATATTTCATGCATGTATGTTGCTGAATATTGTTTTACTTTGGAGACCTGAGACAGAAACAAGTTCAGAATATAAATCGTCATGATTCAGTGTTGCCAGTGCTATTTGTAGTTATACATCCAACAATTGCAAATTTACAGAAATAGTGAGAGCATGCCGTCTGGGGGCAGTACACCAGTCCGTAGGCTGAGCAAAGCCAAGAGTACCCCTGCTGTCACCTCACCCCTGACAAGAACACTAGAGAAGGCTTTTGTCACAGGCCCAGAGTCTCAATCCAGCTTAACCTCAGTCGTCCAAGTCACCCAGGAGGGAATAAATGACAGCTCTGGAGAAAGACCAGCTGATGTGTCCCAGGAGAGGTGATTGGAACGAGAAACTACTACAGCTACTGGTCTCAAGATTGTGTATCAACTACAGGGTTAGAATACCAATATGTTTTTTTTCCATATTGCTTTTTCCTCTACTGAGGGAAGATTGTCTTTTTTAAGAAGATTCAGTCAAACAGATTATGTAGAGAGAGACTGATTAAAGTTAGCATGATGTGTTTATGATTTAGCTTGAGAATTTATTTCCCAGTGTCAATAAAAGCTTTAATAAGATTTAATACTAATAAGATCAATGAGGATCTGAACACCTTTGCTTTCTTTGTATGATAAAATGCCTTGATGACCCATATTGTAGACAAAAACCTAATAGTGTATTCTATCTTCTATTTATAGTGTACAACATGGGAGATCATTAATTAATTTGTCTGTGATACTAATAAATCTGATGTAATTTGTACCATTTATATGCATTAAGACTACTTGTATATTGGTTGTATACCATTATATTTTCAGTTTATTTTTGGTTTCAAAATAAATTTTGGTGTAGATAGTTATAATTTGTTCCATAATTGGTGTGAGTCTATAATGTGTACTATTGTGGAATTGATTTTCTAATTTAGATCTGATATGATCTGATACTTTCATGTTATTTTGAACAAGCACAAAATGCAATTGAACCCACCGCAGTGTGCCATAGGAAGAGGAAAGACAGGAGAATTTTGAGTGGTATATACATTTTTTGTGAGGCTTCTTTGTGAACCTAGTCTGTGAGGAGTAGATAAGCAGTTTGGTTTGAGCATACATTGTGTATACATTTACATTTATGCACTGATGCACATGCTCATGCATATTCATGTGTGTATGCAACCATTAACCTGTACAGTACACATATATAGACATATGCATACACAAGTTCATGTGCAGACATACATGTAAGATCACATGCTCACAGAATACGCAAATGCACAAGCACAAGCTGCACACACACATGTAAACGCAAAGGCAAATGCCCATGCATACGCACACATGCACACGCACATGCCCATGCATACGCACACTTGCACAAGCACATGCACACGCACATGCATATGCATTTATATTTACATTCACATTCACATCCACATTCACATTCACATTCATATTCATATTCACATTCACATTCACACACTCATGCTCACTCACACACATACTTACACTCATACTCACTCATACTCACACTCACTCATACTCACACTCACTCATACTCACACTTACACTCACTCACACTCACATTCACTCTCACTCACTCACATTCATTCTCACTCACTCATATTCACTCTCACTCACTCACTCACTCACTCACTCACTCAATCACTCACACATGCTTGTACTCACTCACATTCTCATACTCTCACAAACATATGTATCAATACAAAAGATGATGTTTTACATGTAAATGTATGTACTTTTTTCAAAGATTTTATATGGTTCTGTGAGATGATGGTTCAGAAAATTGAATTTATTTTTGTATTTTGTGGTAATTTGAGGAATTTGGTATAACTATTAAGGACTATTTTCTATATCATTCAACTGAATAAAATCTAATTTAGAATTACATTCAAGGTGTTTTCATTTTTTTTAGTTTTTTTGTTATCTGTAAACAATAACATAGACATAAAAAAAGCTTTTGTAAATGAGGAGTTTAATCATGTCTCATTTTACTTGCATGTCCTTTAACTTAGGTAAGGAATATATGCTTTCTGTGTCCATATTGTATGTGCACTTCTTAAGAAGTTCATTTTGCAATATCAGTTTTTTTGTGTTTTCATGATATTTCATTATTTATCTCGAAACATTACATATGGAAAGGGCACTCAGTGTCAGTTTTTTGTGAATTTATCTTCTTAATTTAAACTAGAACTTTAGAGCCAGATCTTTAATGAGTTAGGCAGTTAATGGTCTCATTTAGCTTCAGATTTTCCATATGTGCTTTAAAATAGAACATTTTTCTTCATAGGATGTGAAGAAATAATTCATAAATGACAGCATTTTCTCAATTTCGTATGTTTGGATAGAAGTGGATTTTTATGTAAGTGTGGTCTTCAGCCTGCCTTGCATTTACATATTTCCATTATCTCTTTTTTGCCTCTCTTTACCTGTGTGATCTCTCTTTTTGTCTGCATTTCTACTCCTTTTTCCCTCTTTACTTTCTCATTCTCTCTTTGCGCCTGTCTTTTGTGTATTAGTGGGGAAAGCTAGCCATAATTATATTTAGATCTGTACACTTTATAATAACATTGAATAAAAAGACTTCTCTTCTCTTGATACCAAGAGATGTATGATTGGTCATTCTCATATGATTCTGTAGCTTAATTTGGCATTATCCTCATATTATGCTTTTCTAATATATTTATAATCTTTACCACTCGTTTATTAGATGTATTAGAACCGTATGTTGTATGATAATGGAGGGTAATAGAAATTGAAAGTACCTAATGAATCTATAGAGATACAAATTGTATCGCTGTTGCCTTTTCATGTGCCTTGTGAAACTAAGGTTGTCCCTTGTATGTTTTTTCCAAGCCATACTTTTGATTCTAAACAGTCCATCCATTTTTATATAGCACAAATGTTTTTGGTTGTATTGGTATGCCAATCATTCATGTTATTCATTGTGTTATTTGTTTCTTCTAAAGTA